ATGGTTAACAATGAAGCAAATACAGAGGGACTGGGGTTTAAGTACAACAAAATTAGAGGCCTGAAAGGGAAGAAGGGGATAAAAGATTAAATGACAAATGGTTCCACAATAAAAATCCAAAGTGGAAATGGATATTAAAGGAGCAAAAGCCATGCCTTCAGACAAATTCTGAGAACTGCGATGCAGAGGAATAAAGAGATAACAAAATCATCAAACCGAAAAGGGCCAGAATTTATGGATTGGTAGGTTGAACTCGTGAGGTCCAGAGGCTGTAGAATGGAGCTAAACGAAGAGATTCCCCCTCTTAGCTTGCTTTGAGCTCAGTCTTTCAATGCATCCAGATCACGACCGTAACTCTTAATTTCCTTTTCCTGGTTTAGTTGTATCTCACTTTTGTTCTTTGTATTGCACTTACCCTTGGTTTTGAGATCATGAAAAGCCTGTCATTTAGACTCATCATGCTACCCAAAAAGCTTCCCTTCTCTAAATCTTCCTCACACTCACTACGATTCACTGGCTCAAAAGCCACTTGTTTTACCTCAGTTTTAAAACTGATCACAGACCCAAGCATTGTCTTCATTTCAGACTGACAACACATGTAGCATTTGTTTTGTTCGGCCTATCATCCAATTTAGCCTGGAACAGATCTTGGGGCTTAAAACTCCTGCATCTTTATAGCAGTAGTAAGGAAACAGGAAGGTAAAGCCTACTGATCGTGTCCTCAAATCTATCAAAGATTGACCTGGCAGAATTGTATTAGGTCAAAGTCTGTAACCTGCTAACTGATACAGTACCTTATAAGTAATTTCACATTCTTCAGCTGAAATGAGAAAATAAATTTAGGAAAGAATTAAAGTCAACAAAATGGTGGGGGAATCTTATAATTTGGGTTACAAGGCCTTGTTGTTAACTATGTAATACTTTTGGCTATCAAATGCTTGTGAAAATAATCAACCATTTTTCAGCAAGTGCTCAGGATTAAATCAGTACAAGGCAGGAAACCATTCAATATCTGGTCAGTTAAGACTACTAGTTATAGTAGACAAGTGAGAACCCAGAATGAAACATGGCTTGATAAAACAAGTTCTACTTTGTTGTGGAAGTCACTGAGGCTGTACACGTAACCTTAAAATAGTTTATTAAAACAACTGTAGGTAGTAACCCTGAATCTGCTGGATTAGCTTGAATTCAAAAAGGTTAAAAGTCAAATGGTGACCCAGATTGACATTGGAGGCAGTTCAGAGGAGATTCACTAGGCAGAAACCAGGTATGGAGGGACTGTCTTGAGTAACAGTCTTTAGATCAGGCCTTTTCTCATTGGAACATAGAAGAATGAGGGGCAGCTGTATTGAAAGATTCTTAGAGAATTTGACAAGGTAAATGCAGAAAATGATTACCCTTTGTGGAAGAGCATAGGACATTAAAAAAACCATTTATGGGCTGTGGGCATCACTGGCTGGCCAGCATTTATTGCCTAGCCCTAAATGCTCCAGAAGGTGGTGAGCTGCCTTCTTGAACCGCTGCAGGTTGATCCACAATGCCATGAGGGAGGGAATTCCAGGATTTTAATCCAGCGACAGTGAAGTAACAGCAATATACTTTCAAGTCAGAATGACAATTTTAGAACAAGCCATACAGATGGAGGAAATTGAAGGTGGCCTATAGAATTCATCTGCAGAACTTTTTACCGCAAAAAGGCTGCTGAAGCCTTGTCATTACGTATGTTTGAGGCAGAGACAACCAGACTTTTAAATCAGTAAATGGAAACTAAGGATTATGGTGCAAGGTAGAAAAGTGGAGTTGAGGATTATCAGATCAGTTGTGATTGGTGTCTGTTCTGCTCTTCTCTTCAATGGGATGAATGGCCTACTTCTGCTCCCATGTTCTATGGTTTTAAATAATTAGAAGGTTGCTTGTCTAGAGTGTTTGTGCCCAAAGGAATGTGCATGCTTGTATGTTTTAGCTTGGTAATGGACTAAAGTGACACTAACTGTAAGGCTAGACTTTGGACTCTGAACTAGATTTTGACAACGTGGGCTATTTATATGCTAAATTTAAAAACACCCTCGATCATAGGATAGCGCTATATAAACATGTTGATTGAATGACAAATGGATCAGTAAACTGAGCAAGCTAGCTAGGGTCAAAGTTTTCTTTTTTAATAACTAATTAAAATCAACTGAGAAAAAACATACTTGACATTTGCCAGTGGCCAAACTGATCAAGTAGTTGGCAGTTGGACAGAGTCAGAAAGTTCGATTACATATACCTGGCACAGATGTAAGTGTGATTCAAAGTGATACCTAGCTCAGGATGTGTGGGGTTACTTGACCAACGGCTGATAGTGTTTCACTTGGCTCAGTTGTGATTCTGCACTGTGAAGGTTTTTTTGCACTATTGTGTATACAGAACTGCCTTGGGATGCTGATATCCAGGGGAAACCTGATGGACTAGGGAAAGAATGAATAAAAACCTACTTCAGATCTAATCCAGTAGAGGATATTTTGCTTTGAGGTATCAGAAAGCTTCATCTTTTACCCCAGCAAAAACCTCATTGGCAAGCAAGAATCATAAACTCAAGGCAACCCCTTAAAACCACCATTATCTGCCTAGGTAGCATGCAAGTCACTTGAGTTTTCTATGAAGTTGTGATTCTCATTGTCATTCAAGAGGCTGTACATTTAAAACTGTTGCACATTAGCAGTTCAACCCCATTCCCCATTTACCACACTCTGGAATCAGGAGACTTAAATTCATGGTAAGGGTATGCCGAGTTGCCCTTGTGGAGGTGGGGGTGGGGGTGGTGGTGGTGGTAAACTGCCTGCTTGAACCACTGCAGTCCACCTACTGTAGGTTGGCCCAAAATGCCACTTGAGAGAATGCCAGGATTTTGACCCAGCAACAATTAACAAATGGTGACATTCTTCTAAGTTAGAATGGAAGGGAGCTTGCAGGTGGTGATATTCCCATGTATCAGCTGCCCTTGTTCTTTAGACAGGAATGTCACAGGTTTGGAAATAGATGTCAAGGGATCTTTGGTGTAGGGCATATTTAGGCTGTACACAGCATCATTGTCGGAAGGAGCAAGTGTTTGTTGGTGTGGTGCTGGTCAAGCAGGCTGCTTTGTCCCGAATAGTGTCAAGCTTCAATTGTTGTTGGAGTTTTACCCATCCAGGAAAAAAAATAGGGAGCATTCCATCACATTGCTGATGTGTGCCTAGTGGACAATGGCCAGGCTTGAGAGAGCCAGGAAGTGAATTATCACCAGTATTCCTAGCTTCTGGCCAGCTCTTATAGCCACTGCATTTACATGGCACTTCCAGTTGACATTCCATGATATTACTAGTGATTACAAACTCAACGGCAGTGATTAGATTCATGATCTGTTTAGCCATTCTGACTGCAGGGCATTTAACAGACCACACGCTCCTTCCTTGCCTGTTTGTTATGCAGTCCTATTCCAGTGTTAGAGTAGAGTAATCTCAGGTCATGCTGCCTGAGGAACAAAGTGTACTAATGTTTTGACAAATAATATTACTAGAAAAATAAGCTCCACAAATTTCTACATTTAAAGAAAAACAGAACTTCATGCTAGGTGATCCTGTTTATTGTCACTTTCACTCCAAAAAGAGAACTGATCTAAAATGGAAGCTATTTTATTACACAATTAAAGCAGAATGACAGCTGCTCGGTGTCAGAACTGGTACATACACATGAAATGTACTAATTCAAGTCAAAGTGATCTATAGGTTTACATTTTAATTTTATTTCCTATTCCTAAATGAAGGATTTGGGAATAATACATTAAAATCTATTCAGAAAAAAAAACTTCATTATTATACAAATAGATACATCAGCACTCCAAGGGAAGTGTTACTACATAGAGTGATGATATTTCTAGCCTGACTTAGGTCACTCCAAACCTCAGTACATTGCTGAAGGATGATTAATTTAAAAGATTCACCTGGTCGGACCAAATTACTGCAAATGCTCAAGTGCGTACTGAAAAAAGCTGGAGCGCGCAGATCAGGCAGCATCCACGGACAGAAAGTAAGCTAACACTAACTCTTCAGTCAAGATTCACCTGATGTATTAAAACGTGCAAATTGTTGCAAACTAACATTCATTAGTTACATGGCAACTTGAAAATAAACAGTTGCTTCTCCTTCATTAGGCATGCAGTCTTTCAAATGAGACGCTGCAGCAACAAAAACAGTTGCTGGAAAAGCTCAGCAGGTCTGGCAGCGTCTGTGAAGGGGAAAAGCAGAGTTAACATTTCAGGTCCAGTGAGGAAGGGTCACCGGATCCGAAATGTATGCTTTTTTCTTCCTTCACAGATGCTGCCGGACCTGCTGAGATTTTCCAGCAACTATGTTTTTTTTTTAAAGCATCTGCAGTTCTTTGGTTTTTTATTGAGATGCTGCAGCACAT